TTGGGGTTCGATCCCACAATCTCCTCGCACTTTCTTGTGGTAGAACTGTGGGTAAGGTCACCATGGGTGTTAGTTGTCAGCATCTACTCATTCAAAACTAGAGCATGGATGTGTAAAGAATCTGAATGGGGAGAGGATATTCTAGTATGCAAATTTTTAGAACAATGTTTCTTAATAATTTTATGCACATGCTGGAGGTGTCCCATATAGTTGCCGTTGATATGGAGGAAAAGACATGGAGGAAAATTCTTAGGCCACCAGGTCCTACAATGTCCATCCATGGAGATCAGGGTCAGTTGTGTCTATGTATTGCTTATATTTTCAATACGTCTGACCTTTCAATCTGGATCCTTGAAGACTATGGTACTAGTAAATGGACATTGAAGCATACGGTGAACACGCTTGCAACTATTTGGACTGAACAATATCGGACTCGGTTCTAAGGCTGCCAATGCGGACTACAGAGTGATTGCAGTTCACCTAGAATGGAATTTAATTTTTCTTGTTGGGGAGGATAGAACACTGATGGCATATGACATGAGCCACAGAAAAGTTCATGTCCTCTCTGCCTGGGTCGTCCGCTATTCTAAAAGTACCTGGAGTATTTATTTGAACGGACCTCACTATCTGCCTTATATTCTCTTGTTCATGGAGTCATTAGCAGAGCAGTAAAGGTGCATATGCTGTATTTTATTGTTAGGACATGTTTTTGTTCAGGTATGGAGTTATTTTGAGTCTATATATAGTCTAATTTTGGCTTGGTAACTAAACTAATGGTATGTTAAATATTATTAATTCTGTTGCTTTGCATTGTGCATGTTTTAGAGTCTCAGTGCTTTTGAACGATTTTCCTGCAATGGCTATGGAAGGAAGAAGAGGGGATCCATGCTACATTGGCTGCCAAGATGATCAAGGAGTGCCAATCTGAAGGAGTGGAGCACATCTACCTTACGTAAGTCTATAGGGAGCAGAACCTTTATTATGCTATCTATGTACCGCTTGTGTTAGTTCATCAGTTGACACAATTGTTATGTTAGTGTCGAGCATTATTATTATAACAAGTACTCTTCGTTGTGAACATGATGAATGATGTGTAATGATTATATCTGTATGGTGTGTGTTCAGTAAGTTATTAAGGCTCAGCTGAATTAGTAAATACATTGTGAAAACCAGATGCAATTCTGTCACCGTCGGATGTAAGGGCCATTGGTTGTTTTGTCATCACCGCCGTACCACTCACCTTTGGTGAAGCAGACGCCATCACCAACGCTATTCGTCTGATGCGGTAGGGGTCAATAGTGCATCACCGCCGAATCGTTTAGTAACCCGACACCGACTAAAGGATCATCACGGGCGGATCGTACTGCAACGCGACGGTGACCATGCCCTATGACCAGACGGTTCATACGCTGAAGCTATGGTGATGTTCGCCTCGACACAGGCGGGTCACTCTCTAATGCGATGAAATAAGGATCTCACAGACGGATCATAAGCCATGCGGCGGTGTTAGTGCATACTCACATATGCGAGTCGTGTTCCAATGCGACGGAAGTAAGAACCTTATCATGGACGGATGATAAGCCAATATAGCGGTGTAGTGTACACCCCAATCTGTCTCAGATACCGACGGTGATGGCTATGAGTATCACTGCCGACAGCTTACTGCTGAGGCAAAAATGGACTGCGATGTGGGTTACGACACGGCTGTGAAAGGTGCGAGTGTAATAGTGATAGTGCAGCTGTCATGAATGGTAGTGCATTGGTAGGTGCTTGAATGGTGGGTGTGGGGCTCTGTGTGTTATTCATGTTTCCGTTTGTTTGTATAATGGTGTTGCCGTGTTGGTATTGAGATTTGCTTCTGATAAGGTGGTTTGCCTTTGGAGCATACCCATCTCTTCTCTTGATCGTCGGTAAAGGCAAGTAAACGAGGCGTTGTGTAGTCCACATACTTTAACTTTGTTGTTTGAATAAGCTCAACTAAATGTCAGTACCTCACACTAGCCATATAAAGGGGCTATTGCCTTGGTAATATCGACCATGGAGGCTGACAGAGTTGGTGAATGAGGTGGTGCAACTGGTGGTGACCGAGATGGGGGCTCAACTTCTAGAGTCAGGAGCGCCATTGGGAGTGGTTTATGGGGGGACACTCGATCCACAAGGGGACCTAGCGACCCCGTCATCCACAACAATGACATGTGGTGGAGAGGTGTCAACCACGGGTAGGGATGGGCGCTTCGAGGGCGGGCACCAAGAGAGTTGGGCTGTGCAGGAAGAGACAGGTGATGGCAACGACAACCATAGATGAGGAAGCTACATGGGGCACTCAGTGGTGAAAAACTGAGGCGAGAAGAGATGGAAGGGAGAGACATGGGGGGAGACAGAGGGGGCTGAGGCACAGGTCACCTCCACCGACGGTTGCAGCGGTGGAAACCCTTGGAGAGTTGTCCTCTCATTGCCTGCCATGACCTCATGCCCATCTCTCTAAGGTATGGTGTTGACTGTGAGGGCCAAAATAGTAAATAGTTTTGGTTTGGTAAAAATTTTAGGTTAAACAAAGAAGGTTAAAGTATTAAAAATTAAAATGCACAAAGATATACCAGATTTGAGTTGGATGAAGGTGGTGTCTGCCTTTCCACTTGTGGGTTTCGTTGATTTTGCTGGTTCCGAGCGATCAAGGTCTTAAGAGCAAACAACAATTGTGGCTCGATTGGTCCCTTCATCATATTGTAGTAGTCATTCTGCTCAAACAATACCATGATCAAACAATCAAAAGGGTGAAACAGCAAGATTTACTTTTGCTCCCTAGAAATGTACTTATCTCTAGTAGAACAAAGCTTCGCAAAAGAAAAAGGGAAGGGGATAGCAGTACCTTGTTTGGAAATTTTGTATACAAGATCTTCTCAAGATACTTTGTCAGTACCGGCACCCGGTGCTGCCGCTCAGCTAACGATGGTTTCCTTCGTATATACTCTAGTCTGCCGATTTAAGAATAGTCAAAACCCCAGTCCCATGCCTTCTACAGGGTTCACAAAATCCGCCACATGCACTAAAAAAATGTTGGGGTAGTACGGTTTTGTACTGGAATTCAACTAGTATGGAAATTTATGTGCAATTCCTCATAAGAAGGGAATACAATTACATGCTGAGTAGTACTTATACAATGTATCCATTGCCGACTTGGTAATTATGGAAATTTGGAAGTAACTCTTGCATTATACTAGAAAAGTTGAAATGGGCACAAGTTATACCTTCTATTGGGTTCATCTGCCCCGACATCCTGCACAGGTGACGATCTGGTGACAGAGACGATGGGACGATTTGATCAGCCATACGGCCGCCGGCGACGGTGGCGGGGAGAAGCGGAACGTTGGGGATTTTTTTTTTAATCTTGGGCATCATCGAGGCTGAGCGAGCGAGGAAGCGATGATTCCTCAACGCCAATAATAACAACGAAAAGCGCCACGCTGTGGGTGAGCTAGGGTTTCGTCGGAGCTCCGCGGCCGCCCACCGCCCCACGTGGGTGACCTAGGGTTTTGACGGAGCTCTGCGCGGAGCTCCGACGAAACCCTAGCTCGCTTGTGGCGCCACCTTCTTCCCCTCCCCGTTCCACCGCCGCCATGGCCATGCTCGCCGGCCAGCACTGCCGCGATGCCCCCGCCCTAAACTGGCTCGGCCGCCTCCACCGCCGCTAGGGCCCCTAACCGCCTTCCAGCCATCCCCACTGTCTCGCCGGCCTTCCTCCCCCAAACCTTCCCTTTCTAAGCCCGCCGGAGTTTTGAAAGATGAGAGGGAGAGCTCGCTGGAACACTAACTCGCAGATCTAGAAGAAGCAAGAGGAGGAGGAAGCCGCCTACCTCGTCATCGCTGCCGTCGCCAGAACCTGCCGCCGACGCCAGAACCCGCCGCCAACACCGGAGGCGAGAGAGGGAGGAGCCACCGAAGAGGAGAGAGGGAGGAACCACGGCGCGTATTAAAGTGAGTGTGCGCGTGGCCGGATAAAATACGACAGTGCGTATTAAAGTTATTACCATAATTATATAATAATACAAGCAAGAACCAAACAACATCACGCTATTTTTGTTTTTTTATAAAGGAAACTGGATTCATCCCTTGCAAACAAGGGAATCAGACCACATTTTACAAAGAAATACAGGGACGGTCTCTAAACTACATGTGACTCTCACCTAGGTCCCAAGCTATAAAACTACTCAAAGAAATACAGGGACGGTGTCTAAACTACATGTGACTCTCACCTAGGTCCCAAGCTAACAAACTACTCGTCTAGGTCCCTAATCTATCAAAGTACTACAATCCTAGTCCAAAACAACCTCTTCACAATCCTAGTCGAAGACAAATAGATCGAAGGCAATCACGAAACTTTTTCTATGAACAATACAGTTAACTCTTGGCCGTTACCACAAAGTCTGTCACCGGCTAGTGTATGAACGAAGACAAACATGAAACTATAATTACCAAGTTAATATATCTTCATGGTTCAAGTGTATAAATAATACAGTAAACTCTTGGTCTCCACGTCTCCACCACAAGTCCAATACGTACAATACCTGTTATGCAGTTTTGACCACTAGCAATGCTGCATTTCTAGCTACAATAAGGTGCACTCCTCAACACTTCTCCTGACACGAAATTGGGGAGTGGTTATTGCTTCAAGATATCAGCTACTCAGCAATGAGGGTCATATTGGCGAAAATCAGCTGTACTTCAGGCTGTCCCTAGATCATAGCACTTGTAGTCATTCTGCATTAGAAAAGGAATTGCATGATAAATAAAGCTCCATAAATAAGATAACTTATTTCGCATTTCTGGTATTTTATTTACTCAGGACATGTATGATTTGGCTTGCTCCCAAAAGTCAGAACGGATCCACATATGCTGCGAATGACAAATTCTTACTGCATTTTCAGTAAAGGGATGTTCTGAATGCAAGCAAGGAGAGAGCAAACACGATGCATGACGTATTAGTGCAGAACTTCACCAGTTTAATCCCGCTCTTCAGCATGTGTGGATGCAAACTGGAGGTGGAGGGATGCAAACAGCTCAGAGAGACCATCAAGATTCACATCCTGTATCAGGCAACAGTATACATCAATGACAGCATGTTTCAAACTACATTTGCATTATCCAAACACAATTTGAATGTGTTATCTGATAAAAACAAATACTCTGGATCTTCTGTTTTGAAGCTATTGCTAATCAGCCACACAGCGAGTAATCACTTGTAACCCACACTATTGAGGTGAATGGAGGTGAAGCAAATTGCTAATTAATTGCAGTTTTTTTTAATTATTTGTGCCAGTGTAAATTTATCCAACCTCGGACTAGTCATCGCAAAACATATAATCCATTGGAAACAACCGTTATGTCCCCATCTTCTTTCTCTACCCCCGCTCCCCTCCCCTCTCTTTCTCACATGCTGTCACCTGGCTTCAACCTGGTAACTCCCGCACAACATCGAGCCTGCTACCGCTGCACAGATCCGTATGTCATCCCCATCTTGCCAACATATTCAGACTTCAGAGCTTGACAAATTGAATCGCCACGCCACTGATAATGGTGTTGACCACAGGGGTCAAAATTGTAAATAGTTTTGGTCCCAGTCAAATTTGGGTTGCATGAAAAAGATTAAAATGTTAAAATGCACAAGGAAAATATACCTGATTTGAGCTGGACGAAGATGGTGTCTGCGTTGGCAGCTGTAGGTTTTGTTGATATTGATGGTGCTGATCAACCAAGGTCTTAATAGCAAACTGCAATTGTGGCTCAATTGGTCCCTTCATCATATTGTAGTAGTCATTCTGCTCAAACAATACCAGGATCAAACAACCAAAAGGGTGTAAACAGCAAGATTTATTTTTGCTCCACAGAAATGTACTTGAACTCTAGTAGACTAAAGCTATGCAGAACCAAAAGGGAAGGGGTTAGCAATACCTTGTTTGGGAATGTTCTGTACAAGATCTCCTCAAGCCGATTTGCCAGTTCTGGCAACCGCTTCCTCCACTCAGCTGACATCTGTTTCTTTCCTATATACTCGAATCTGCCGATTTAAGATTAAGAACAGTACAAAAAGTAAGTCATATATGTTCTATTTGAGAAAATCAGCCACAAACCTAAACTTTGGGTGCTTAGGAGTTATGAGGGCTATTCAACTAATTTCAAAATATAAATGGCAGTCAATGACATAAGTATCAATTGTTGCCTTTGTAATTATGGAAATGAAATAATTCTAGGAGTATAAATATTATGGTACTCCCTCCGTTCTTAATATAAACTTCGTTTGTGGCTTTTTTCATACATTATTTTTATTATATATCTAGACATAGTGTATATCTAAGTGCATAGCAAAAAATACGTGATCTCAAAAAAGCCAAAACGTCTTAGCATTTTTGGAATTTAGGAAGTAATATTTAATGTCGCTTGCATCTTAACAATTTGGGCCTGCCACTTTAGTTTAGATATGCTATCGCCGATTCAAGAATCGAGACTCACTAACAAGCCCGTCCTGTCAATTTATGGGCACAAACCTAGCTTGGCTTAGGAGTTAGATGGGCCCTTCATTTACGACAATAAATGGCAAGAATGACGCCGTATCGCGAAGACGCAGCTATGAAGCGAAATAATTCTAGAGAGCGGCCTATGGTATTTCCTCTGAAAATCGACGGACTCTTCCTCACACGCCCAGTATTTTTGGGCCACATATATGATTTTCTATTGGACTGAGTATACCAGCTATAGCTTATAGTGTGTTACATACACAATTAGGCCCCTTGGCTTCGAGGGCCCTGTGCCAATGCACAGCTCGCACCCCCCCAGGGCCGGGCCTGCTCACTAATTCACCACAATCCTTTTTGGGGTCAAGAGGTTAGGGGTGGGACCAACACATAATTCATTAAAGGGGATTTCGGCAAGCCAAAACACATAACATCAACATGGAGAGGAACTAAAAGGATTAATTTCAATTTTCATGGACGATAGAGCTAATCTCAATCCTTTCGCGCACAAATAGTTTACTTAGTCAAAGTCAAATGTAACTCATGGCCTACAAAATAGTTTACTTCGTCAAAATCAACAGTAATAAATGCTTACATCTTTTCGCGCATAGCAGTTCGTAGCATGACAAATTGCTGATCCGTTCCTGACATGGCTGCCATATCCTGCATCAGCTGGTGCGGCAGGATCCCATCAGCGCCGCCAACACCAACAACGACCCCGCTGCCAGAGACCTGATTCATCTGCGCTGCCTGCCCAGACATCTGTGGGTTTTGTTGATTCTGAGCGCTCAGTGTCCTAATAGCAAACTGCAATTGTGGCTCAATTGGTCCCTTCATCATACTGTAGTAGTCATTCTGCTCAAACAATACCAGGATCAAACAACCAAAAGGGTGTAAACAGCAAGATTTATTTTTGCTCCACAGAAATGTACTTGAACTCTAGTAGACTAAAGCTATGCAGAACCAAAAGGGAAGGGGTTAGCAATACCTTGTTTGGGAATGTTCTGTACAAGATCTCCTCAAGCCGATTTGCCAGTTCTGGCAACCGCTTCCTCCACTCAGCTGACGTCTGTTTCTTTCCTATATACTCGAATCTGCCGATTTAAGATTAAGAACAGTACAAAAAGTAAGTCATATATGTTCTATTTGAGAAAATCAGCCACAAACCTAAACTTTGGGTGCTTAGGAGTTATGAGGGCTATTCAACTAATTTCAAAATATAAATGGCAGTCAATGACATAAGTATCAATTGTTGCCTTTGTAATTATGGAAATGAAATAATTCTAGGAGTATAAAGTTTATGGTACTCCCTCCGTTCCAAATTATAAGACGTTTTGGCTTTTTTAGATACATTATTTTTATTATATATCTAGACATAGTGTATATCTAAGTGCATAGCAAAAACTACGTATCTCAAAAAGCCAAAACGTCTTACGATTTGGAATTTAGGGAGTAATATTTAATGTCAGTGCATCTTAACAATTTGGGCCTGCCACTTCAGTTTAGATATGCTATCGTTCAGCCAATCGAGACTCACTAATTCACCACAATTCTTTTTGGGGTCAAGAGGTTAGGGGTGGGACCAACACATAATTCATTAAAGGGGATTTCGGCAAGCCAAAACACATAACATCAACATGGAGAGGAACTAAAAGGATTAATTTCAATTTTCATGGACGATAGAGCTAATCTCAATCCTTTCGCGCACAAATAGTTTACTTAGTCAAAGTCAAATGTAACTCATGGCCTACAAAATAGTTTACTTCGTCAAAATCAACAGTAATAAACGCTTACATCTTTTCGCGCATAGCAGTTCGTAGCATGACAAATTGCTGATCCGTTCCTGACATGGCTGCCATATCCTGCATCAGCTCACCAACAACGACCCCGCTGCCAGAGACCTGATTCATCTGCGCTGTCTGCCCAGACATCTGTGGGTTTTGTTGATTCTGAGCACTCAGTGTCCTAATAGCAAACTGCAATTGTGGCTCAATTGGTCCCTTCATCATATTGTAGTAGTCATTCTGCTCAAACAATACCAGGATCAAACAACCAAAAGGGTGTAAACAGCAAGATTTATTTTTGCTCCACAGAAATGTACTTGAACTCTAGTAGACTAAAGCTATGCAGAACCAAAAGGGAAGGGGTTAGCAATACCTTGTTTGGGAATGTTTTGTACAAGATCTCCTCAAGCCGATTTGCCAGTTCTGGCAACCGCTTCCTCCACTCAGCTGACGTCTGTTTCTTTCCTATATACTCGAATCTGCCGATTTAAGATTAAGAACAGTATTAAAAGGTAAGTCATATATATGTTCTATTTGAAAAAATCAGCAGCAACCCTAAACTTTGGGTGCTTAGGAAGGTGACTCAACTAATTTCAAAATACAAAAGGAAGCCAATAACTTAAGTATCCATTCTCGCCTTTGTAATTATGGAAAGGAAATAAATTTATGAGTATAAAGTTTATGGTAATATTTATTGTCAGTGCATATTAAGAATTTGGACCTGCCACTTTAGTTTTGATATACTACCGCTCAGCCAATCGAGACTCACTAATTCAGTATAAAGAGGTTAGGGGTGGGATCCAACACCTGATTCATTAGGGGGATTTGGGCAAGCCAAAACACATAATATCAACGTGGAGAGGAACCAAAAGGATTAAGTTCAATTTTCATGGACGATAGCGCTAACCTCAATCCTTTCGCGCATAAATAGTTTACTTAGTCAAAGTCAAATGTAACTCATGGCCTACAAAATAGTTTACTTAGTTAAAATCAACAGTAATAAACACTTACATCCTTTCGCGCATAGCGGTTCGTAGCATGATAAATTGCTGGTCCACTCCTGACATGACTGCCGTATCCTGCATCAGCTGGTGCTGCAGGATCCCGTCAGCGCCACCAAAACCAACAACGACACCGCTGCCAGAGACCTGATTTATCTGCGCTGCCTGCCCAGACATCTGTGGATTTTGTTGATTCTGAGCACTCAGTGTCATAATAGCAAAGTGCAATTGTGGCTCAACTGGTCCCTTCATCATAGTGTAGTAGTCATTCTGCTCAAACAATACCAGGATCAAACAACCAAAGTGGTGAAACACTAATGTTTACTCTTGCTCCCCAGAAAGTGCTTGATCACAAAAGGACCAGAGCAAAGCATTGGAAAAAGAGAAGGGGAAAACATATAGCAATACCTTGTTTGGAAATTTTGTATACAAGGTCTCCTCGAGCCACTTTACCAGGTCCGGCAACCGCGGCTGCCACTCAGCCAACGAAGGTGTGCTTTGCACATACTCAAGTCTGCCCATACAAGAATAGTCATAAACCCAGTGCCATGTGCAATTCCTAATAGATTTAAAGGGAACTCAGTAACATACTAATATAAGTAGCAGAAGGATAATAAATCCATTATATTGTCGCCTTGGTAATTACGGAAAGGAAATAACTCTTGTGGCATAAAAAGGTTAATATGAGAGGACAAAGATGTAGTTCAGCCAGAAGTGCCTCACCAATCCAGTAAAATTACTCTCCTCTCTAAACCTTAGTGAAACACATACATAGAAGGAAAAACTGAGCAGAACTAGTACCATGACGACTGTGATCGGTAGAGTCAACGCTGGACAGTAAAAAAAAAACTTACATCCTCATGCGCATGGTGGTGCGCAGCTGGTCCGTCACCGGGATGAGGCCAGCCGTATCCTCCACCGGCTGCCCGTTGGCGCCGCTGCGGTGAATCTGCCCCGACATCCTTGACAGGTGAGGGATGCGGTGGTGATGATGGGACGACCGGATCAGCCGTACGACGGCAAGCGGCGGCCGTGGACGGCAGCGGGGAGAAGCGGGACGTGGGCGATCTTCCGATCTGGGGCTTGGGGTTTGGCGGAGGCTGAGCAACCGAGGAAGTGAATATGAAATGGCGGGGAAAGCACCTGAGGCTTGTCGACCGTGTTCCGTGGACCGATAAATAACATAAGTTTTCATTCAATCGATTCAAACTTACATAATAACATAAGTTTAATTCATAGTGGGTTGGCTCGTCGCGAGCTGCGGGTGGCCCCGGGGAGTGAGCTTCGATAGAGTTTACTCTCTCCTCGTTCCAAATTATCAAACTGTAAATCGTGTTTTGATTTTTCTAAATATATATAGTGTTATATTTATATAGACATATACTACGTCATCTAAATACATGTATCTAGAAAAATCAAAATGACTAGACATATATATACTACGCTAAATACGGTATTAGAAAAGTTAAAATAACTTATAATTTAGAATGGAGAGAGTAGTTAATTTATAACAACTCTAAAGGTAAAAGCGAACGCTAGACTAGTTGATCTGGCTGTGCGTTTTGCACCCTGCCGGTCAGAGTTCGAACCCCCTCAGGGGCGGCTTTGTTGGCCGGAGGAGGCGCAGTTTGTCTACGTGATGAAAAAAAACCCTCATCTGCCATACGCTAAAACACAGGTCTAAGGTCAGCCCAATCTCACGGGAGCTACGGTGCACTGTGTATGGATGGAATAGAGGTTCGGGGGCTTTCTCAATCTGTGTGAGAAAGTCTTCTTCTTGAGCACAATGTCCAAAGTTGTCTTACCCCACGGGTCGATTTTTTTTTATGACAACTCTAGAGGTTACCCCCTCCGTCCTGAGGTATAATTGCCTGTGCTCTCTGCGTAAGATATAGTTGCCTGTGCTCTCTGATTCAGTGTATTGGGCTTTACACGTCTACAGTGACAGAGAGAAGATGCTTTATTAGAGGTGAAGTATGCAGTGATCCATCCTCACTGGTAAAGAGCGACGCTCACAAGGAGAAAGCTTCAGCTTACTGCCTCTCCTGAACAGAAATACAGAATTAGATAAATCACCACAACCTATGACCTATCTCATAAATCACCAGAACGAAGCCATCTCACCACCAGAACGAAAATTCACTTTTGGTAAGACACTGGCTGTTGTGGCTCTTGTTTTCTACAGGAATTCAGGTTACATGCACCGGCTACTGGCAAAAATCCTAGCGCCTGCTCACACACGTCATGAAAATTCACTTTTGGTAAGACACTGGCGGTTGTGGCTCTTGTTTTCTACAGGAATTCAGGTTACATGCACCGGCTACTGGCAAAAATCCTTGCGCCTGCTCACACACGTCATTTTGCTGTCAATGATGATCGGCTCCAGTATTGCGAACCTACGTTGCTTTGCTTCTGGAACCATGAACATTTGTGTGCATGAGTTTAAGAATGCTCTATATATGTAAATGATATGTCCTGATTGTAACGCATGAACCGAGCAGATGCGGCAATTGAGGATTTCCATCAGCTGAACAATCTGAAAAAGCAATGACAGCAAGCATCTACACTTCAAAAATCTATGGTACATTACCAAGGTGGCCACCGCCTACTGCACGAATATCCAACAGGAATAACTTCACTCAATTACATCAAGCCAAGTAACAAACAGTCAATGACATCAGCTAAATCACTTCTCCGAGGTACAAAAATACCATTCTGGTGCCGTACATGCTCTATCTCAGCTATAAAGGGCGGACTGGACCATGGACCAGTTAGCATCAGGAAAGATTGTACAGATCAGCGTGCTCCAAACTTGTTGAATGCTGCGTCACATCTTGAAGTGCTGCCCAACCGCTCGAACTGGATACAGCCTTGAAGCAAAGAGCACCGGACAGTTGCATTTCCCTGCCCAGTTCCTTCACACTAAGCCGTGGGCTTAGATGATTTTGTTCCTGATGTCTTCTAGCTTCTTCAGGATCTCACCAGGAGTTCTGTCCAGCTCATCAGCAATCTTCCTCTGCATATCAGCTGGGAGGGAGGGATACTGCTCGCAGAGATCACCATCTATCACATCCTGTAACAGACATCACATCAGTAACAGCATGTTTCAAACTGCATTTGCAGTTCAGCTGTAACAACAAACAAATAAATTAAAGTCATGGGCTAATGTGAATGAGCAGCAACCCACATCAGCATGGTTTTCATAAACTCCAACTGATTCCAAATGTAAGTCATTTATGGCATTGATAGTCTACACTCCACAAGGTGAAACTTTGACTGGCAATTTCTATGAAAACAAATTTCAACAGAGATGCTATATATTGTGAAATTACTTTTCATGATGAATCTAGTAGCATCAACCTTATGTTGTAAACCTATTTACATTTCCAGCTATGAGTGGTCAAAGTTAAAATTGCTTGACTTAGATCAAATCTAAAACGACCCCCAAGGGAGTAGTACCTTACATACAAGAAATTAACTGGCTGACAAAAGTCAAGTTCAGTGCAGGTAGTGAAGACCTGTGTTGTCATGACATTAAGTAGAACCACTGGACTCTAATTCACTGCAACTACAGGAAGTGAACAATCCGAATATAACTTAAATATATATGCATTAATCGCAAACCAAGAACGTCAATGCCATGCTAGAGGGGCTCATAAGACTTCATCAAGTTACTCAATATGACATGCGAGTTTATACCAAGTCTAGTGGAAATGAATTTTCCATTTGCTAAATTTATGGTGCTATTCTATATGTGTGCAGTGTGGGAACCATCCATTACCCATGCACTGGGTTCCAATGGTTTTTCTAGGTTAGACTGCTACAAAGTCAAGAGCACAACTAACTATTTGTGCAAGGCTGCCACAAGAATGCTAGATCAGTCCTTTCTCATGCTAACATAATACACTTGGTGACATTATAGAATATTAGAATCAGAGTATATATATTGCCTGGTTCACAAATCCAATGCAAGGAACATTTTACCTTCACTGGAAAATAAGCAGATCTGTAAGCCATGTGATCTCTTCCACATAATGGTGGATGCTCCTGGCGGAGATGCATCTCCAAGTGAGAGAAGAAGTCAACATCTTCCCTGGAGGTGAATGCAAGCAGTGCTCCCACACTGCCCATCACAGTCCCATAAATAAGACATTCACCTCCACCAGGAATCAAAGAGGCTTTCTGCAAACATGTTACAACATCACCGACATGAAACTGCACAATCTCCTCAACTTTGTTAGGGGCACCATTTAACTTCCCTTGCTCCCATTTAATCTTTCCTCCAGTTGGGTCTTCTTCAATCTCATCTGAGATATCCTGAGGAAGACGAGCAAAATATATATTCCCAAACTTATCTGCTCCAGCCATAGTGTCAAAATCTATGTGTTGTGCTGCTGTAAGCCATCTGGGAACACTGTCATCAGCAAATATATAGAGTTGGTTTTCATCTCGTCTGTACTTGCAATAGTGAAATGACTGCAAAAGAAAATGGCACCATACAGAAAGTATATCAGAAATAAAGGAAGGAAGCCAAGGGGAATCTGGTGAATGACATGCTATTGCATAAGCTGAACAATGGTCATAAGGAACCCAGTCAATCAATAATAGAGGTAATCGTACAACAAAATATCAGAAAACACAAAGGAAAAAAAATATGAAAAATACCCTAGGAGATACAGATACATGTTATATATACAGTATTCTACACGATTCAAGTATGTCAGACAATTCGCTTCAAGCTCCTACACTAGTAAATTGAACAAATCATATGCTGTTAAATCTAATTAAATAGAAAAACTGTGTCACATACTTCAAATGAAATCACTGTGAACGCCATAACTAGGTCTAAGGGGTTGACAACTATAACATGTTGTCAACCTTAGAAAGCACATCCATGTGAAAGAACTGACAATCAAGGGAATTCAGCAGAACAGAACGAAGATTGAGAGCGTACCTCTTGCATATCACCAACATAGATCCTATCACGGTAGGTATGAATAGACACTATTGTCCTCGGAAAAAGCTTGTTTTCACATTTTCTGAGCAACTTTCTCTTCCCCAGATCATATAGTCTGAGCACTGAACCAACACCTGCAAGTAATCGTCCCTGGAATTGGCACAACGCAAGAGGTACTTCCTCCACCTGTGTCTTGTGTAGAAGTTCAAGTGCCCTCCCTTCGTCCACAAACTTATATACGTGGATGAATCCACCAGCAAGGGTCCTCCTTGGCCAGAACTGCAATCCCTTGGCAGTGCCAACAGCCAGTAGAGTTCCGTGCTCCTTATCATGGAAATTCACAGTGCAAATACTGACAGCAGCCTCATTTTCCTGCAATTCCAGCAGACAGGTTGTGTCCCTACTCCTTGGATCAAGGATCCTAATGCAGGAAACCCACCTCTCAGATTCAGCCTTTGGATAACCATATTGTTCATCAGGAAACGTGTTACCCACCTCAGCACCATCTTCTTGACCATCACCATTCTCCATTGGATCACCATTATTCGCATTTCCATTCTCCGCTGCACCAGAAGCCTCAAGACACTCTTTCTTAGCAGCTTCTCGCTCTTCTGCGCTGAACGCACCCTTATCACTCTCAATGACAGCAATATATTTTTTCTTTGGTAGAATCACAAACTTCCTTGGGGTGTAGCGTAGAGGGATAGCCGTCTCATTGAAAGTCTCCCCCAGGCGCTCAATGGTGAAAATACGTAGGGCATCTCCCGCAACAGCAACTACACCTTCTGAGCACTGATCAGAAGAAAATGATGCTGCAGATTCGACCGTATCACAGGACAATGGTGTCAAGAGAAAATGGCCTTGATGTATATAACCCAGCCAAGGACGGCTGGACAGGCAGAGCATTGCTTGCCTGTGGCTAACTATACAAGGGAATAGCTTTGGAGGTCTCAGGCCAAGGAATCGAGAACGTGTGTCCGATAGCTGACCCGTAACCATGTCGA